TATGGAATGGCGGAGGCTGCAGCTGATGCTGGGCTCGGGCAGTGCCGGGCGGTCGCAGGCGAGACCGCGGCCGTAGGAGCAGCGGGGGGAGCGGACATGTCTATCCCTTCTCCCTGGGTCCCGGCTCCGAGAGCGGCAGACCCCGCGTTGCTCGTAGTCGCGTCCTGTGCGAAGCGGCCCCTCTTCTCTGGAGCGGCCTCTTGCTGTGGAGGAGTGTGGGTCTCCTTTCGTATTGGGGCTCCCACCAGATCCCAAACGTTGACTTGAGATCCCATCGCTGGCCATGGAAGTGGCAGAAGTGGTCTGGTGGCTGTAGTCGCGCCTGCGATCGGCGTCGCCTTCGGCCCCGGTGGCGAGCGAGACCTCGGTGTTGCCACTGTCTGTGCTGGAGGCTGCGGGGGGGGAGGTGGCGTTCCACCGCCATGCAACACCGTCTCCATAGGCGTAGGTGGTGATGGCAACCACGGCGATCGAGAGCGCGGAGTGGCTGCAATCTTGGCTGCTGCTGGGGGTGCCCGTGGCGCTGGCGGTGGTGGAGGGGTTCGCATGGCCCCCAAAATTGGCGAAGATGCCGTTGTCCATGGAGATCGCGACCTTGTCATCGCAAACTTTCCGGCTGCTGGTGGAGCCGGCGGCGGAGGCGAAGTAGGAGGAAACTGGGTGTCTGGTGACATGTGTTTCGGTTCGCTTCCACCTGGCGTAGATCTTGATCGTGTCATGGGCTGCCGTACTCTGCCGCCTCCTCCTCCTGGCGGTGCTGGCGGCGGCGGAGGCGTCGCCAAGATCACGTCGAGTGACGACTGCTGCGAGGCTGGCGTCCGCGACCGCGTGAATGGAGCTAATACTGGTGTCGATTTGTTGCGGCCTGCTCCGCCCTCTGGCGGCGAGGGAGGCGGAGCTGGAGTCTTGATCACAACATCCAGCATGGGACTCTCATCTTGTGCGTCCGTCGGTCGGGGCCGGGACCTGCTCGCGTCAAGCCTTGGAGGTGGTGGAGGTGGAGTGAAGAGAGGTCCAATCGGCGCAGGCGCCGGTGCCTTCGGCGCTGGTGTCGGCGCTCTAGGTTTCGGCATCGGTGCCCTCTGCGTCGACGTCGGTACTCGTGGTGTTGGTGTCGGTGGTCGTGGTGCTGGCGTCGATGCTCGTGGCGCTGGCGTCGGTGATCGCGGTGCTGGCGTCGGCGCTCGCGGCGCTGGCGTCGATGCCCCTGGTGCTGGGGGCGTCAGTGCACCAGGCGGTCCTAGCGAACCGCTCGGGGGAGCTGCCGTTGCACGGAATGGAGGCTTGTCCTTTATACTCACCTGGCCGTTCCCAGCCATCAGGCGTATACCAGGACACCGTCTGACCAGGCCTTCCGTATCCTCGGGCTTCGCCCCCAAGAACTGCACGACGCAATAGTCCCTCCAAGAGGCCTCCCCGGAGTGGATGGCCGGGTCGTTGCTGACCAAGTTCTGCTCCAAGGCGGGGACGAGGAGAATCCCCCCATGGTGTTCGGCTGTAGGGAGGACACTCCCCGCGACAGTCTCACAGTGGTGCACTCTGCAATGCGGACCACCGTAGATGCCACAAAGAGGCCTGCTTCCAAGACTTGGTGTCCTGACTTCGTCTGGCTGGCCTTCGTCAGATGCCAACCGGGGTTGCGAGTGTCGCTGTGGTGCACGAGTCCGTACACTTTCACCGCCTTGAGGTTGAGGTTCTCGCACGCGTCGCGCAATATGGCCCATTGTGCGTGGGGGTGCTGCTTCTGGCTGACCAAGAAGATTAAGTACGCCACGTGCTCCCGCACCAGTTGGCCACGTCGGTCCAGGGCCCTGCCCTGATAACGCACCGCCACAGCTTTCTCGTCGCGCTGAATCGTCTTGATCACCGCTGGCCCCCGCCAGCCGCTCACGTCCTTGGACGACGGCTCGAACCAAATGTCGACCTGTTGTCCGACCTTCAACTTCGCGAGTTCCAGAGCAGGCCGCGTCCTGTGGTGGTCTGCTCGTCGCAGGCGGTCTTTTGCCGTGTGCTCCACGATCTGGGTCACGGCGATCTCTCTGATTCGCGCTTGACTGCGAGCCAGCGTCTCGCCACGAGGAAGTCGATCATCACGTTCCGCCTCTGTCGCGCCGTCGAAGGTGGGGAGGAGAGCGGGCGTCCTGCCGCACAAGGCTTGGTACGCCGCACTCCCATCGGCGTTCACCAAGGCATTGCGTGCGAATGTGACGGTCGCCAGCGTCTGCTCTACAGGGGGCATAAATGCCCTCTTTCTGCATCTGGCCTTCAGCGGAGTGGAAGGTTTTGAGTCCCACCAGCCTTTTGGGCGTGAGTGGTTTAGCGAGCTCTCTCTGTTCTCAACCCCCCTCCTTCCCCTTCGGGGAGGGGTTTACCCCTCCCCCTACCCTCTCCCCATGGACCTGGAGAGGGGGCCCGGCGGGTCGTCAGGGGGGTCAATTTCGACTCCTGGGAGGGCCAAAAAACGACGACCCTCACGAGGATTCTGGCCCCGACGGGGGGGCGGAGATAGGCCCCTCTGCTCTCTTTGAAACCAAAATCATTGATTTTACAACGGTGTTGGCCCCATTTTGGCGTCCTGAGGGGGCCGCGCTCATCTTCCTTCATAGCAAAATCATTGATGTTACGAAGGTTTTGGGCTCATTTTGTCCTTCTCAGGGGGCAGCCCTCATCTGCGCTTCTGAGGAGGTCGCAAAAGGCGCCAAGATGGCCCCAAGAGGCCCCCAGGATGCTCCCAAGAGGCCTCCAAGAGGCCCCCCAGAGGCCCCCAAGCGGCCCCAAGAGGCCCCTAAGAGGCCCCCAAGAGGCCCCCAAGAGGCCTCAAGAGGCCCCAAGAGGCCCCCAAGAGGCCCCCCAGAGGCCCCCAAGAGGCCCCCAAGAGGCCCCAAGAGGCTACAAGAGGCCCCCAAGAGGCCCCACGAGGAGCCCGAACGACTCACACCAGGACGAGGGGCCCGAACGACTCACACCACGAAGAGCCCGAACGACTGCTACTGCTACTACTACTACTACTACTACTACTACTACTACTACTACTACTACTACTACTACTACTACTTGTACGAGTACTACTACTGGTACTGTTACTGGTACTACGACGAGTCCTACTTCTACTATATCTAGAGCTACTACTACTACACCTCGAACTACTCATCACGCCGCTGATACAAGGAGAGAGAAAGAAATAGGAGCAGAGGATATATGCAAAGGCAGACAGGCACACGCTTGCACCAAACGACTGTCGGCATGCGTCGCTGGGACTACTGTTCGGAGATAGTACTACTACTACTGCTTCTACATCTACTACTACTACTACTACTACTACTACTACTACTACTACTACTACTACTACTATTACTACTACTACTACTCCTACTACTACTAGTACTACTACTACTACTACTACTACTACTACTACTACTACTACGACGACTAGTACAACTACTGCTGCTACTACTAGTACTACTACTGCTGCTATGACTGCTACTCCCGTTAGTACTACTACGAGCACTACTACTTCTACGATGACGGCTACTTCTACTGCCACTGCTACTAGTAGTGCCGCTGCTACTGCTACTACTACTACTACTACTACTACTACTACTACTACTACTACTACCACTACTCCTGCTACTACTACCAGTACTACTAATACTACTTCATCTGCTACTAGTACTTCTACTACTACTACGACTCCTACTACTACTACTACTACTACTACTACTACTACTACTACTACTACTACTACTACTACTTACTACTACTACTACTACTACTACTACTACTACTACTACTACTACTACTACTACTACTACTACTACTACTACTACTACTACTACTACTACTACTACTACTACTACGACTCCACCTGCGAAGACCCCGATCACCTCGCAGGCGGACGAGGTGCCCGAACGCCTCACCTCACAAGGAGGATAGACAAGGAGGCGGGAGGAAGGAGGAACAAGGGAGATATGCGGAGACCAGCAGGGGAGATATGCGGGGGCAGGCGGACACACGCCTGAAAAACACAATTGTCGGCATGCTTCGCGAGAGTTGCTGCTGTGAGATGGGCTGGTGGGGATACGCGAAGCGTAAAGAATTGGATCTGTCGGTGCCGTTCTGCAATCCAAGCTTTCGAACCGGGAGGCCGGTATTTGAGCTGGATACGGTTCGCCTCCGCCCAATCCGCCACTGCTCTGCCCTTCATGCCAGATTCTCCGTCTTGGACCAAGGTCCTCATAGGCCCGTGTATGGTCACCCATAACTCACTGATGCGGGTGCACAGCGTGATCTCCTCCTTGTCCTTGAGGACGCCGTTCGCCGACCACCGCACGCAGGCGTCAATGAGGTGCATGATGGTTCGCTGGAGTTGCGGCCTGTCGATGAGGCTGCGAAGGAACCACAGGTCCATCTGGACTTCGTAGTTGAACTCCGTGATGAGGCGCGTGGCAGTGACCGTGGCTGTTGTAGGAACTTGCCAGTTTCTGCATACATCACAACCTTGCACCACTCCAGGGACTTCTCCTACCGCGCGTGCTGGCACGCCGGCTGCTCGCAGGAGTGCTTGCACGTGCGTGGGCGCAAGGTGGTACCATCTGATGTGTAGTCGTTGAATGGCTAGTTTCCTCAACTCCTCGTCGTCAGACTTGAGTCTGACCATCACGCGTGAGACGTCATCGGTTCGCCAGTCTTCCTTGCCTCCTGTACATTCTTGCGTCTCGGCGTCAGCTTTGCCTGGGCGCGCAATCCCTTCGTCGGACCGAGTTTTGCGAACTTTCGGGCCCAACGGCTCGCCCAGCTCGCCCGGCATCAACTCCTCCTCCTCCTTCGCAGAGGGAGGGCCGACCTCAAGCGGCTGCTCGGGAGCGTCGGGAACTGGTTCGCCAGCAGGCGCGAGCAGAGGTCCGGAAGCGCTGCTGGAGGCTGCAGCGCGCACATTTCTGCACATGTCGCTGCTGGCCCCAGGCACATTTCTATGCCCGGCGCCACCTCCTCCGGAAGAGTCTGGGCGGCCATCTTCTGCATCAGAACCACCCGCGGCAATAGCTTGAGGGCCGGCGAGGATTTCTCCAAGAAGCCCTGGGTTGTCCAGCTGCTCGTCGTCGGTGAAGCGTTTCCGCCGCTCTGCCCCCCCCACCGCTCGGCTGCCCGGATCTCTGACTGGTCCGCCCCGGCGCTTGCGTCCATCCCGATAGCGAGTCTCGGGGGCAAGGCGCTCTCCAGCCACTTCTGCGTGGCCTGGGTCTAAGGAGTCCTTTCCGGCCAAGCAAGCGGGGCACTTGATGGCGTCAGTGGGCCGATCGTGGTAACGACACAAACCTGGAGGCTCAGATCTGCGGGCGTGCAAGGGGTGGTGCCAAACTTTGCGCCCCCGGCACCCGTCGCAATCAAGGACTGCGCCCTCTGGCCACTTCCTGAAGGCAGGATACGCCTTTAAGTCTTCCTCGACACAATCCCCGCAGTGTTCGAACCAGAATGCGGCGCCACACGGATCGCTCATAGCGAGTGCCGTCCGGGCTTCGTCATCCATGAAAGGTTTAGCGTCGCTGCCACAATCGTCAAAGTGCTGCTCTTGTGTCATAGGTTTCTTCTTTCGCATGGCCTTCACCTCTTCGGGCGTTTTGTTGCGTTCTAGTTGTGCGCGTTTGCTCTTGGCTCTGACGTGTGAGTCTGTCGGGTAGGCTGCTTGTGAGTGTGTGTCAAGGTCGTCGGTGGAGGTTGATTTGTCTGCTGCGTTGGTGTTCGGTGGAGGTTGCGTCGCTAGCAACGTTGCCATTGCCTGCGGTGCAATTTCGCCCCTTGGCTGTGAGGGAGGTGCATCCACTTGGTAAGTCTGGACCCCCGCGCCTGTGAAGGTCACAGACTTGTGCGGCGGTGGTTGTGGCTGCTCTGTGGTGTGCTGCTGCTTCACGTAGTCTCCGGCGCCTGCTTTGTCTCGAAGCTGTCGTTGGGTGCGGTGCCGGTCGTGGCTCGGAGGTTTTATGTCGCTGGGTCTGAGTATGTTGGAGTGGGCCATGATCTTTCCCACGAACTGCTCCGATGCAATGCCGTCGTTCGCCACGTAGCTGGAACTCTGGCGCTGACAGACGCAAGGCATGTCTGGCCAGGGCTTGTTCGACATCACCAGGTGCTCGCCGCAAATCACCGTCTCGTCGTCTTTGCCTCCTGCGATGCCCAACGCGCACCAGCGCACGCGAGAAGGGTGTCCCAAGAGGCCGCCGATGCGGCTAGCTCCTGCGAAGAGCTCGTCTCGCACTGGAACGTCGCAGGCCTTCGCTTCCAGAACAACGTCTCCTCCTTGCTTTAACTGCTCGTGTACCATGCCAGCGAGGAACTCCAAGGCAGTGCGGATGTGCGGTCTTCTGCCAGGCTCTTGAAGCAGGTGTGACCACTGGATCCAAACCAGGGTCGGCTGGTCAAGGTGGATAGCTTGAAGCATAGCGCAGGCATCAGGTGACGTCTGGCGACGCTGGAAGTTCAGCATGGGGCATGTTCGATGTGGCTGAAGATCATACTTGCCAAGGGTCATTTTGATTGTCGCCAACCTTTCTCCCACAAAGAAAATCATCGGACACTTACGTTCATGGTTAGGGCTGGCGTTGTCTGCTAATGGTAGTGGGGTAGAGGGCTTGGGTGTGGGTTGCGGTGCCAAACGCAATGCCGGGGAACCGACACTGCTGGCTGCTGGCGGCCTTGTGGTTGGAGCGCTCGAGCACCGGCCGCCCGAAGTGCTCGGCGTCTGCGGCGTTTGTCAAGAGTCGGCAACCCCCTTGTCAGCCGAGACGGCGAACGCCTCGGTGACTTTGTCGCTTTTCCTCTTCAGCTTGTGCCACCGGGAGATTGGAATCATCCAGTGGCCGGAGCGTGCTTTCTTGCACTCGATCACCCGCGTGCCCTTCGGCCAGATGATCTGGTCGTCTGTGCCCTCGGGAATCATGTGCAATCGCCCCGTACGGGTGCCCACGTACGCGTTGCGCGCTGCCATGGGGCCCTGGCCGTAGAGGGCGGGGACTTCGGCGCCCTCATCTTCCAGGACGGGCGCCGAGTAGGAGATCAAATCGCCTTCGCCCACCACTCCGTGAATGGTGGCCGCGCGCTGTGCTATCTGAGCACCCTTGCCCACGCCGCTCATCCGCCTCGGCTGGCCCAGCGTCGCCCAGGTGGTCTTGTAGCCGCGCCGCTGTGCCGCGCACGACTGTCGGTCTACAAGGCTCCTGCCAGTCAGGTTCCCGCGGGCGCCGGTGTCCACCAGGAGGCCGTCTTCCCCGTCACTGATCTTGGCCTCGGTGTTGTTGCACACGCTCTGGTGCTCAAGGTCACTCTGCGCGCCCTCGCCCCACTCGAAGACCGGGCAGTGCTTGTCGCACTGCTTCCAGGGGTCGTTTTCTACCAGCGGGTCTTCCTCGGCACTGTCTTGCCACCGAGGGGGCACGGCAGGATACTCGGAGCAAAACTGCTCGCCTGAGAAGAGAAGCTGAGCAATGGCCCCGGGCTCGGCTGAGGAGCTGCTGGTTGGTGGTGGCAGAACACGCAACTGGACATTCGGCACGGTCCTTTCTCCCAGTGTCGGCACGGCGTGCAGTTGCCACTCCTCCTCGCTGCTTGTCCGCATGCTCCTGTTGCAGGTGCTCTCCGGTCAGACCGCCCTGCTTCTGGGAGCGGTGGAGGCGGCGCCACTGAGGGCGCGGCAGCAAGCGAGGGAGCCGCGTAAGAGGCGGCTGACGGCGTCAAGCGAAAACGCTGTGCACTGTCAGCTGGAGCCTCGGGGACTGGTTGGACAATAGCTTGTGCGCGTTGTTCTGCTGTGGGCCACTTTTGCTTGGTCGTCGTCGTCGCGGTTGTTGGGCGTTGTGGCCCCTGTTCAAGCGCGTGACTCTGCTGCGTGTGCGTTGGTGCTGGGATCGCCGTCGTAGGTGGGAAACCTGGCAGCGATGGAAGAGCTGAGGCTAGAAGCTCGTTCACGCACTCAACATCTTCGTCCCTAGGCGGTGTCTTGGTGCGTTTCGTGGTCGTCGCTGCTGGTGGCGTGCTGGCAGCGGGCGCATACGAGGCCCATGGTGCGGCAGGACTGCCAACACTACTGCTGGAGGCTGCAGCGTGCAAATTTCTATGCACGCTGCTGCTGGCACCGGGCGCATTTCTATGCCCAGCGCCACCTCCAGAAGGCACCTGCGCCTGGGAAGGAACATTTCTATTCCCATCAGGCCTCAAGCTCCTCATGGGCGTGGTGATCACACACCCGTGGATGCTGTCTTGGACCAGCACCGCGCCTCCGCTGCACGCGATGACGACGCCCTGGCTCACGTACTGAACCGTGCTGCCCACCGGCGGCAGCTCTGTGGCTGCTGAGGAGGCTGCCGGGGCTGCTGGCGCCCAGAAGGGCTGCGCAACTAGCTGCTGCGGCGGCCGGGGCTGCAGCGGCTGCGCGGGCGCAAGCCTCCTTTGCAGCGCCTGTGCGACGGCACTGTCCTGCGCCAAGGGGCCGCGGGGCACATTTCTATGCCCCTGCCCAAAAGGTGCACCAACAACACCATCATCATCATCACCGTGTCTGTCCTCCTCCTCTTCCTCCTCCGCCCAAGACATTCTCGTCGTCGTTGGCCCAAGCTGCAAGTTGTCTGCGAAAGCGAGAGTGGCTGGCTGGGCTGCGGCTGTCTTCTCGGAGCTGCGAGCGGAGGTCTGGGCTGCGCCGGCGGACTCTTCTCTGCGACCAGAAGCATCGAGTGCTTGCTCGTGCTTATCTTCGTCGTTGTCCGGCGTTGTCTCCTTCCTCGTCCCTGACGCCTCACCTCCGCCTCCTTCTCCAACGCCCTGCTCCTCCCTGATCATGAAGTGCTCCTCCGCGCCCAGGGTGAAGGGTGCCTCCTCTTCCTTCTCCTCCTCCTCCTCGTGCTGGTGCGCCTCGTCCTCTGTGGTGAAGAACGTTTTGCGCGGCTGTTTGCAGTCCACGGCCAGGTGCCCTGGCTGGCCGCAGTGGTAGCAGAGGTTGTCCGGGCTCTTGCACTCGGCAGCCATGTGGCCTGGCTTGCCGCAGCGGTAGCACTTCACGACCTTGGGAGCGCCGCGCTCGACGCGGCCCTTGTTGTAGCCGCGGGACCGGCCCTCGAAGAAGGCCTTGATGTCCAGCTCTGGCACGTGGCCCATGCTCACGAAGGTCTGGCCCACGAAGAACCCGCGCCTCGGAGGGCCGCCGGCGGCGCGGGCAGGGCCGCGCTTGGTGTAGCGCTTGGCGCCTACGTGGCGCTGCTTGGTCTTGTGCTTGGGAGCGAACCGGCCAGCCGCAGCACGATACCGGCGCTCTGCCGTCCGCGCAGCCCACCACACCTGGGTCAGGTAGAGGGGGTCGTCTGCGGCCGCGCTCTGTTCCGCCTCCAGGCGGTCGGCCGGCCACGGGTCCTCGGCGGCCCCAAGCTCCCACCACTCGGTGTCGGTGCCCCAGCACGTCTCGCCGTCGTCGTCGCCCGCCGCTTGGCCGAGGTCGAAGAAGACGTCCTGTCCCGAATCGCTGCTTTGACCGTTTCCGATCGCAGCGCGCTGGGCGGGGCGAGCTGTCGCACCATCGGCGCTGCCGGCCGCTATGGCCAAGCACAGCGGCAGCGGGTCCTCGTCGGCGTCCGCGAAGTACACGCCGGGCGCCCCAGCCCTGCCTGGCTGGAAGGTCGACACGTTCTCCTCGATCGCTCGGTCTCGGAGAAGCCTTGCCTTGACCAGCTGGCACTCCTGCTCGGTTCTGAGCAGCCTGCGGTCGCACTCGCGCAGGATCTCCGCCCATTTCCGCGCTGGCAGGCGCAGGAGCGAGGAGCATCCACGTCCGGAAAGGGACCGAAATCCCTAGCTCAGCGCGCTGGTTCGCACGGTCCAAGAGGAGGTCGAACCTCAGGAACATGCCCCGCAGGTCCTCGTCGCTGCTCGGCGTGAACTTGAAAAAGTCCAGCCCTGCGCGAAGCACCTGCGCCTCTGGGTCAGGAGGAAACTTGGCGAGCAGCACCGCCAAGAGAACATCCACCCCTGTCCTCGCCACGGCGCCCCGCCCGTCACCGAGGTCCAACACGGCGCCGTGCTGCAGGATCTCCACCGAGACCTCGTCTGCGATGGCCCGCGCCGTCGTGCCGAGGGCGAGGCTCAGCATGGGCCCTTGGCGCTCCACGGTGAGCTTGGCGGCTGCCATCCACCGTCGTACGTCCCGCGTCCATTCGGTGATGGTGCACGGAAACGCCGCGTCGTGTTCTAGCTCTGGGCTCCACCATGGCGGGGTCTCTGTGGACGCCACGGCTGCGCCTTGTCTGTAGTGGTGAGGCGCCGCGCCGAAGATGTGAGGCTGCCCCCTCTCGCTCCCGGCGCGCACGGCCAGAGCGCCCCCTGCGCTCGCCATGCTTCTGTCGCCCTGCTGGCCCTGGAGGCGGCGCCCGGCTGCGCCGCGGCGGCGGCGTCAAGGTGCGCCTCGGCGGCGGCTCAAGCTCCGCCTGCAGCTCGTCGTCCGGCTTCTCGTCCGGCGACCAGTCGAGCTCCTCCTCAGCCGGCTTCTCTTTCACCTCGGCCTTGAAGACCAAGGGGGAGTTGCCGCGAAGTCGCACTGACTGGCGGCAGGCCTCGCTGTGAGGCTCCCAAGGCGGACAAGAGCACGTACGCGTGGCACGTTCGTGTTTCACCTCGAGGCGCCGAACTACCCGCCGCGCCTCTGCGTCAACAGAGTGCGAGTGGTGGTGCCGGCGCTTCTTGGGGCCATGCGGCCCCCCGCAAGGGGTAGTAGTCGACGTTCGCGCACTGGTAGACGTTGTGCTAGGCACTTTTCAATGCCCAGCCTGGCCGCAAAGCGCCGGAGCGCTCCGCTACCAGAGTGGAAGCGCCAGCGGGCTCTTCTGGGAGAAGATCTCGAGAAAGATCTTGAAGAAGAAGGGGATGTAGAACAATAGCGGGAAAGTAAGATGTGAGAGTAAAATGGGATAAGAGATTGTATTTGCAGCGGGGCGGATGCCTTTGCTACACTCCAGAAGAGCGGTTTGCACTCGAGGCTCGAAAAGGCGGCGGCGCGCGGGAGGGGGTGCCAAGCAATGTAATGAGGGGTCGGGGCTGCAAAACTCCCAAACTACTAGAAGAGAAGAGAAGAGAAGAGAAGAGCAGAGAAGAGAAGAGAAGAGAAGAGAAGAGAAGAGAAGAGAAGAGAAGAGAAGAGAAGAGAAGAGAAGAGAAGAGTAGAGAAGAGAAG